CAATAAAACACTGCCAACAAGGATATTTGTGGTTTTGACCCAATCCTTAAATATTTAGTTGTATGGACCCATGCTACAGTGTGAGCTTTCTTAGCCAATCCTGTTATGACACACAAACCTACAGTGCTGCATTCTAATCTCCTTGTTTATCTCTGTAACTACTTTTAATTTTTTCTATATCTTAAACTCTAAAACTCTAAACTTTCCTCTTCTTAGCTCAACGTGTCTGCTTTAAACTGTAAATCCACATTCTCTCTTCTAGCACCTAAGTTTGGAAGCCTTTTCCAAGGTCTCAGATCAAATCCTGGGTTTAATTTTAAGCTTTGGCTTACAGCTCCAAAGTTCTGAGAGTTCCTTGGATTTTGGATTTCAACAGTAAATTACTTCATTACCTGAAGTTGTAATTGGAGGATTCACCCCTGGTATGTAAAAGGACCAAACTTAAAATTGTGTGAAAAACCCATGACCATCATCCATCCTGGGTGTAGTCCCTCTCAGGACTGCCCAAGGTGAACCTATTGAAGGCTTTCAATAAATACTCACTTGTATTCTCCTAATCCTGTCTAGCCTCTGTTTCAGGTAACCCCTCCAAGGCATCACAGCTCCCCAGACACCTCTGCCAGGGCACTGTGGGGCACAACCACCCACTCCAGAGACCACCCACCCTCCCCAAGGGTGCAGCTCAGTCTTGGCACCACGTCCAGCTTGTCACAACCCACCCAAGAATTCCCTCCTGGCTGGCGCATCCCACAGGGTGAGACAGAGTGAAAATTTTACAGGGTAGAAATCCATTTGGATTTAGGTGAAATGTGCCACTTTGAGCTTGCTAAATATGCTGTTTAGCCTGGTGACTGCAGGCCTAGCAAAACTACCCCAGCTAAGGAGAAAGAATGCAAATTTCCACACAAAGATAAGAAAGACTCCTCGGACCTTGAAACAGACAGGGCAGAGTGACCCAGGAATTCTTTCTGTACTTTCTGACAAAAACTGAGTACAGGTGTAACTAGCTGTAAGTGTAATGTGAAATCAGCAGAATGAATATGCATTAACCGATTGTGAAATTCTATGCATATGGAAATTAAAGGTAATAAAAAAGGATTGGAAGTTCTTAGAGGTACACATGTACATTGAAAGGCAATGAGTCCCGACATGCATCCACAGTGCTGTGAATAAACATACCCATTCCCCTCAAATCTTTATTGGAATTGTGGGGTTTGATTTTTCATCCGCGTTTCAAGGGCATAACCCAGAGGGACAATTGCTCCAGGCCCCACAGCCACCAGTGACAAGGGCAGCGTGGAGATGGGTTATTCTGAGCACACAGAGACCAGCTCAGGTGGCTGGTTCTTCTCCCACACTTGCACATGGGTGCATTCACACTCCTGTCAGTGTGAAAAAAAACCTCATTGTCCTAGATTGCAAGGCAAGATGTGTTCTATTTCCCATCTGTTAGAGGTGGGGCAGTTATCTTCAGTTAATTGGGCAGTTTTCTTTATCTCTTCCACAACCAATCCTCTCTCAGGGGAGACATCTGCTGATAATGGGCTATTGAATGTCATTGCAGGACTGATAAAAGTTACAGCATCCCATTGGGAGATGCTCTGCCCAGAGGGAGGAGCCAAGCATTCCTACCTGGATATAATCTTGAGTTTTTGGGACACCAGACTCAGCCTTTCCACTGGATTCCCAGAGGAGCAGCTGGGTTTTCTCCACTGCCTCTTCAGAGAAAGACTGCACCCTGCTACAGGATCACTGCTCCCACAGAACCACATCAGCCACTCCATGAGGACTGCAGCCATTCCAATTTGGACAGCTACCAACACGCTGACCAAAAGGGTGTGTGGTTGCATTCTGACTCTGTCAGTGGGTTTTCTTTTGTATCATTGCATGTATTTTGTTTTGTTTTGTTTTGGTTTGGTTTTTTCCCCTTTTCCTAATAACTTTTATTTCTGACTTAGAATTTCTCACTGGTTTTGCTTTCAAACCAGAACACTCATGCTGCCACTAGAGGGGAAGAACTCTTTTGTGAAGCCTGCCCAGGCTCCCAGAGACTGGAGAGTGCAGAAAAGTGATGGCTTTGGGGAAATGGAGACACCCACATTTCCTTTCCCAGGTGGTGCCTGGCTGAGAGCAGAGCAGGGTGGAAGAGGTCAAAAGTCCCCATGCTAGGGCAGGAGGGCAGACAGAGGGAGAAAGGAGCCAACAGGCTGTTCGGGGGTAGCCTGTGACCCTTGTAGCTCCTCAGCAGGACTGATCTTCCAGCATTCTGCTCAAGCTCCAGGGGATGAAATGGTGCAATGTCCATTCTATGCTGCTCCAGCAAGCTGCATAAAAATTAATTTAATAGATTTCTTTTTCTGCACCTGCCTTTCCCTCTTTGTTTTCACTGAGAAATTATCACAAGGGCAAGGGAAGGTTATCCACAGAATGATGCTCTCATGCAGCCTTGAGAACTGTTCCACCAGGGAACCCAAATCTCATAATTTCTAGTCTACTGTGCCATGACGCAGTTTGAGAGTGTGATAAAGAAGTGCGGGTCTCAAAGAGAAGGATTTTATGTTTAAGTTAGTGCATCTGAGGCTGGTTTATCCTTGCTTTTATTTTTAGTTTTCAATTGACTCACTTTCCACCTCATCCAGCTCCCCTTGAGCTCTCTGTGCTCAGCTGCCAGCTGCATGGGGCAGGCAATCCCAGTCTGGGCAGTTTTCACACCAAATAACCACACATCAAGAATGAGAACACAGTTCCTGAGGCACACACTGGTTTTTGTGTCAGGCAGCTCCTGCATCTTCTCACCAGGGCACAGATTGGAAATTCTCCATTGTCCCAGTCTCAATTATTATAAAAATGTAGTAGAGAGAAGGCAAGTCCTGATAACGGAGCCAGGAGAGCAGAAAAATTATCTGCTCTGAGTGATTCATCATCTCAGACCACTGATGTAATCCTTCCCAAATTCAATTACAGCTAATTAAAAATAATTCTCTCATCTGAGTTGATCACTTGTGGTTCCAAGTCCCAGTTAAATCCTGCTGTAACAGCAACCATAAAATCAAACACTCCGAGGGAAACTGCAAGGTCTGCTCCTGATGCAACCAGGGTTAAACCATAACACACCCAACTGACAGCCTACTGGCAAATGGGCCGGAGCAAAGAAAGATGGAATTACAGTCCTGAGCATCCTTTTGCTCTCCCTGTGCCCCCAGCTGAGGTCAGATTGCCCGGGAGAAGCAGCACTCCAGAAACTGCACACACAGCTTCACATGGAATCACATTATCCCATTTGTAAATGAGTGCTGCTCTGCAAAGGGCTTTAAAAGCCAAGAATTCCTCTTCCCTGCATTCAGTAGGATCATGTTGGAGCCCTGGTTATTGAGAATTTTAGACTTTCTGTGCTGACAGGCACTGACCCCCAAGAGAACACTGCATTTGACCTCAGACTGTAGAAAAAACTTCCAAAATTGAATGATAGAACTGAAATTATGGGTGTGTGGTTTGAATGGAAGTGTGTAATATCACATGGTAGAAAACTTAACTTAAAGTTTTAAAATATAGTAATATATATAAAACAAAATAAAAGTTTTAGAGCAGAAGCTAGTCCTTCTTTACCTTCTTCATGAGTTTAAGTAATATTGTGTAATTGGATAAAAAAATCCACATTACGAGTCATGAGTAGTTATTGAGTTAAAAGCAAAAATAATTTGTGTCATTTCTTAATTAAACAGTTTATCCTTAAAAAGCTTTGTAAAAAAAGAAATACAACTCCATTTTTATTTATTATTTTAATTTATTAGAGTGAAGTTCCGTGGAACTTAGAGTTTGTGAGACTGCAATATAAACAAAAACTAATAAACATCTAAACCCGAACAAGAAATACCGTTTCATGCATTTAATTCCAGCCTTAACAAAAGAGAAACAAAGAATCCACAGGATCAGATCTCACCCAGGAATTAGAGATTCATTCTGCACAGCAGCTCAGGAAGAAGCTACAAGTCATAAAACACCTTCCTCTGCTCTCTGCCCGTGGCCATAAGTGCTTAACTCCTGGGACTCTCTATTAGCAATTCTTTTATTGTGTTACATGGGTAATAAACCAGCTACTCACTGGCTTTTACTGACAAGAGCAACTACAGGACTTGCAGCAGCAAAACAAAGCTGCTGTTGGCTTCCAGGCTGCCAAGATCAACACAAGGCAGAACGGCAGTGACAGGAAATAGATCACGGAAGGACACAGTTCAGGAGGGAAAACAATATTGTGGTGTTTCCACCCTCAAGCCAAGCAAGACTTGCTAATGACCGACCTTATTAAAATATTGGGAAATGGATGTTTCATCCCATGGGCTTCAGGACAAATGCCACTTCATGTATCAGAGCACAGAAATGCTTCTTAAAAATGGGATTTTCCCAGGAGGAGTCACTGTTCTCTGACATCCCTTCTTGAAGGCATAAGAATATGCTACCTAGAAGACAACCAGAGTGGATCTCCAATCCAAGGAAATGCTTCACAGGGGAAATTTCCTCTGGCTCTTGCAGAGAACAATTAAGCCATGCTGCACATGATGTAATTATACACATTTTTACTTCCTTTTGTGTCTTAATCACTATTACAGTATGCTTGGCAAGGCATCACTCAGCAGCTCACAATTCAGCCTTTGACTGCATCATTTCATTCATTAAATTATGAAAGCAGCCAAGGAAAGCTGCAAACACAGGCTCTGGTTTCTGGTTTCCAAGCACACCCAGCTGACTGGAGGGGCAAGACTCTTTACTCATTTTAAATGAATTGCCCTCAATTAGGCTGCACAGCATCTTTTTGGCACGCTTCTACAACAGCTGAGAAAATGCAAGTATCACTCCCTGGGTAGATGGTTTCTTCATTTTTATGTTTTTTTTTTTTTTTTTTTTGGTGTTTTGAGATGGGAAGAGGAGGTTCCTGCCCACTCTCAACATGCTGTGTTGACTTCATCCCGAAGGAGAAACAGAAGCAGTTTGCAAGGTTATATTAAAGAGAAAAATATATATTAATTGTGATTTTTACATCTTCCATCCACGTTGTCCTGCTTCAAGCAAGGTTCAGCTTTGAGTCTCTCTCAGCTCTGGCAGAGCTCTGCTGTCAGGGCATCTGTGGGGTTCCTCTCCCACACAGGATCTCCTAAGGTTGGAAATGGAGTTGGTTTTCTGCACCCACACTGGGGACAGCACTATTCACAGATTTTCACAGAACTTGGAGGAATGCTAAAGATTTCAGGTCCTGCATCATCTTCCAAATCATGTCATTCTAATAAGGATATTAAGAATTAACAGATAGGAAATGAAAAAAAAAAAAAAACCCAAAAAAAATCCACAAAAAACAAGACAGATGGAGAAGCACTTCTAACAAGGGCATGGAAAAAATGGCTTTAAACCTAAGTGGGCAGGTTTAGATTTTGGGAAGAAATTATTCTTCCCTGTCAGGGTGGGAAGGCCCTGGTACAGAGAAGCTGTGGCTGCCCAATCCCTGGGAGTGTGCAGGGCCAGGCTGGATAGGGCTTGGAGCAACCTGGGATAGTGGAAGGTGTCCCTGCCATGGCAGGGGGCTGGAACTGGGTGAATTTAAGGTCTTTTCCAATCCAAACCATTCTGTGATTCAGAAAACATTGCCTTTCCCAAATTATATTAAAAATATTGTTGTATAAATTATAGAATATAATAGAACAGATAAGAAGAATATAATAGAAGAATAGAATAATGGAACAGAATAGGATAGGATAGGATAGGATAGGATAGAATAGAATAGAATAGAATAGAATAGAATAGAATAGAATAGAATAGAATAGAATAGAATAGACTAATTTCAGTTGTAGGTGATTTACAATGATCATCCAATCCAACTGCCTGACCAATCCAAGGCTGACCAAAACTCATGTTAAGGTCATTGTCCAAATGCTTCTTAAAACCTGACAGTCTTGGAGCACCAACCATTTCTCTAGGAAGCCTCTTCCAGTGTTTGACAACCCTCTCAGTAAAGAAATGCTTCCTCCTGTTCCATCTAAGCCTCCCCTGGCACAGCTTTGAAGGAGAAATTGTTACTTTTTCACTAAAATAATCATAATTCTCTCAAACACTTGACAGTCCCTGGCACATAAGGCCAGATCAGCTTTTCTCCTGGAATCAGACTCATTCCTCCATCTTCACTTTGCTGTCAATTTATTGTGGTGATGAAAAAAAGGCAATGGAAAGAAATTCAGTTGATGCCAGTGTGATACATAAAGCATCCAAAAAATGAGTCTGAGCCAGAAATATTTTAGTTCTGGAGCACAGTGAAGAAGTTGGTGGCACCTGGCTGCATGTTGCCTACAAAGAAGATATAACAATCTTACCAAGAGCCCTGGCAGTGGTGAGGTTAGAGGAGCTACAACCAGAATTTGGCAACACATTAAGATTCTATGGCTAAACCTTCCTCCAGCCTGGTGATATTACAAATATCAAAAATATCAAAATCATATTTTTTCATCTTTAGGGAGCAATCCCAACTGACATCTGATTTGTGACCTCAGAAACAGGTTTAAAAAGAGCCCACAGCTTTTTAATAGTTTTTTGCACTTCTCCACCATTTTGGTTGTTCAGTAATTTCACCTTTCCCTCTCTTTGCATATTCAACCAGGTAAGTTCAGGTCCTCTCATTTTAGGTTGTACCCCAAACCAGCTGCTTCTTCCACTTTCCACATCCTCAAGTCTTCATGGAGAGCTTCCTCTGCTCCTCCTAGAAGATATTTTCATAGCAGAAAATCGAATCACAAAATTATTCCAGTCTTGGTTCCAAAGTATGCTTCTGTATGGTATAAATTCACTTCCCAGTAAACACAGAGGGCACCATCACTGATGTAAACTACAAATGTTTAGACTCAGTTTGATTCTGAGATCGATTGCCAAAACAGAGAGATGCTTGTAAATAAGGAAATTTAACAAATGCTTCTTAATAAATAGTTGGGGGAAAAATATCTGCAGTTACTGGTCTGTTAGCACTCTACAAGTGATTGATTATGGACTTATGATAATGGCAGTTCATTTTAAGAGCCTCCACAGGGATGTAAATCAGCTTTAATTAAAAAATGATATGAAAAATCACTTGTTGAAATATGAGTTTGTGAATAAAATTCAGTGATAAATTAAATGGCTGATTTAATTGGAAAGAAAGTGCTCTGCCACACTTAATTCAGCTCTATTTATTTTCACATAAACGTATGCACTGAGACCATTTTAAGGATGACTCTGGTATGATTTAAGGAAAGAGAAGTCTCAGTCTGTGGCTCAGGAGTGGCACTCAGACAATATGGGGTGATTTACAGGACTCAAAGTGGGGCAGGGGAAGCACATCTAAAATACAGCAGCGTGTTCTGAAGGATTGTCACTTTAGCAACGGCACAGAATTTCCAACAGGCAACTCTTCTGTTTAAACATTTGGGCTTTTGGAAGTCTGAAAACACCAAGAGGTGTTTTTGGTAGGTTTTCTTTGGATTTTTTTCCCTTTAATCCTAATCCTCCTTCTGTGCTAAATGCAGGAACACCAGGGAGCAACCCCAGGCTCCCAGAGAAGCCCCTGGTGAATGGGCAGCTGAAAACACTCCCAGTAAAGAAATGCTTCCTCCTGTTCCGTCTAAGCCTCTCCTGGCACAGCTTTCCATGAGAAATTGTTACTTTTTCACTAAAAGAATCATAATTCTTTCAAACACTTGACAGTCCTTGGCACATATGGCCAGAGTAGCTTTTCTCCTGGAATCATTTTGAGATGTAAATTGGAGGACACACAATACAGAGATCTGTCTCTACTGATCACAGAAATCCTGGAATGAACCAAACCCAGCCTTCACTCCCAAAGGAGCTGATTTTTGCCTCTGCTAGAGGGCCTGGGAATTAAGCAGCATGGCCAATAACAGATCAGAGAAAGCAGGGAGCAAAGCTGGTTAACAGGGCAGACTTGTCCTTCATTAGTGTGGCAGACTCTGGAGTGATTTTTTTTTCCACAAAAAAGTAAATAAGACCATCAGGGATTGAGTGGCCCTGTTGTAACAGGAAGGATTCTTGTTTTTTGAAATATGTACAATACCTATTTTCTGCAAGTCAATCCTCCTGGGATAACTGGGCATCTAGGACCTGTCATCTTGCCATCCATATATTTCATACTAAACACAATTTTTCAGTTCGTTCTGTTCTGAGTCTGATACCCCAAAAATATTCCTGAGAAAGTATGCAGTCCAATAATGTGGGTAAATAAATCTGTACATGTTTGAGCAGGACTGTTTTTGTGCTTGATTTCTATTGCCATAGCAATTTGCAGTGGGATGGTTGGTACTGAAAAAACCACTGGCTCAGCAGAGGAGCCACCACAGTAAATAGCAATAAAAGAGCTGCAGTGTCAGTATCTAAAAGTAAAAACATATCAGCACCTTGCATCAAGGTGGTCACAGCCTGACAGAGTTCCAGGAGTGTTTGGGAAATGCTCTCAGGCACAGGCTGGGATTGTTGGGGTGTCTGTGAAGGGACAGGACCTGAGCTCGATGATTCCAATAGACCCCTTCCAACTCAGCTTATTCTGTGATTCTTACTTCTGCAACAAGCTTAGGGTCTTCCTTTAGGTTCTTCAGAGAAGCTGCAGCTGTCCCTGGATCCCTGGAAGTGTCCAAGGCTAGGCTGGACAGGGTTTGGAGCTACCTGGGATGGTGGGAGGTGTTCCTGCCCATGGCAGGGGGTTGGAATTATGATCTTTCAAGTCCCTTGCAACTCCAACCATTCTATGATTTATTTTACTTGCTGTAGAAATACTGGCATCTGGGTCTTTATGCTCAAAAAGCTGAAAAAACCCATTTGGAGTTCATCTTTTGGAGGCAAATCCATGATTTGAAGTGCCAAGAGGATAAAATCTTGATTTTTTTTGGACTAGATCCATCCAGGTGTGGTCTAGTGAAAGGTGTCCCTACCCATGGCAGAGGGAGGAAGGAGATGCTCTTCATGGTCCCTTCCAACACAAACCATTCTGGGATTCCTTCAGCTTTCAGTGGAATATCCTGTTTACTTATTTGATTGTTTGGTCTGACCAAAGATGGGTAAGAAAACTCAAATGTGAGTCAAAAAGGTTCAATTTAATTAATTTTCACTCCTCTTAAGCTGGGCAGCAAGCTCCAGCTGCTCACTTAGCACAGTGTACCTCATCAGATCCCAACTATTCATCCAGGCTTCTATTTCCAGGAAATGGGGAGACTGGCACCTCTAGCAGGTGCCTCATCCCACCTTTTTGAGGTCCTACCCTGGAACAGATGGCAGAAATCCCTCACCAGATCCCACCTTCCTCCAGCACTGGCAAGACAACCTAGCTCAGCCACCCAAAAATTCAGCACCTTGTTCCAAGTCAGATGGCTCCTGTTGCAGGAAGAAATCCACCCAGCTCCCTAAACCACCCGATGGATTTGTGATGTCCTCAACATGTCGGAGTCCAGGACATCCCTCTGGCTGCCCTGGCTGGCTCGAGACACTGGCAGGGGGCTCAGAGACCTTGGCAAGAAGTCAAAAACACCTGTGGCTTTGATTTTAGCCTGTGGGGAAAATTGCCAGCTTTGCATGAAGAATTACAAGCCACAAGGGTTTGAGTAGTGTGATATTTGAATTAACATAGGGTGGAAAAGTAGAAATTTGGGGTTTTTTAGAATATAATTCAGGGGGTCAAGATGCAGGAATTTTGGCATGTCCTGGGCTTCTTTTCCTTCTTGTCCTCCATGTCTTGGTGTGATGGTGTCACTTTTCTATTGGTTCAAGGCAGAGATTCACAGTTTAACATACGTGATGGGAATTTGTAATAAATTGTAAACATACAACACAAAGTTTTGAGTATACAATGTGGGAGCTGCCCAAGGCTCGCAGCAGATTGCCACGGCTTCCTTTCTGGACAGACCTCAGCAGGTCAGGGAAAGAATGTTATAGATAAGAAAAAACAAACAACCTTGAAAACACAATTGGATGCATTCCAGGCTCCTTCTTTGGCTGCACGGGCTGGGAAAAGGACTTGCACACTGTTGGGGTCCTGACAAGAGGGCCCTGACATCAACCCACTGGATTCACTTTGCAGGGAGAATGCAGCACCTGCACATTTCTTAGATCTTACCTTCAGGGTCTCTTGGAATAAAAGCCCTCTTGATTTGGTTTTGGTACAGATCTCGTGGACATGCAGAAAAGCTCATTATTAGATTGCCCAGCATGCCCATGGAAAAGGGATTCTGAAGTGACTGAACACAATAAAATTGTATCTCTGATAAACCCACCTGGCTCCAGGATCCCTTTTGATGTGTTGAAAGCCGTGTTAAAGACAGTAAGAAATTGAGCTGGGGGCTGACTTCATTGCAAGGGGAGCAAAATGCCACGTGTAGGAGTAACTGGGACCCCTCACTTGCACATCAGGAAGGGACAGAGAAGCCAAAACCCTGCTGTTTGATTTACACAGTCATTTTGACATTTTACAGTTGTGAGGAGAGTCAGAAAAATGCTTGAGCAGAATGTAACAATGGCAAGAGAGAAATTTCTTATAATTTTGTATTTTACTATTTTGTTTTCCAATAAATGCACTTATTTGAGAGTATCCTACTGTTTAGAAAGCCCAAAAATGCTGCCAATCAAAATGAAAGAGGACAGAGTGGATCAAATTCAACCCAGGGTCGATACTGCTGGAACAAGAAGTTGTTTTGAATGACTAGAAGTGGAGAGAAAAATAGAAAAAAAACCCAAGAAGATGGCTGGAAATTGAACTCAGCTTGCTGATAAAGGGCTCATCAAGGTCTATAAATCATTATTGTGGATCTCCTTACTTGTGTCCTCCCAATTGTCCTACACTTCTCTGTGTACTGAGGGGTTTTATGTTCCAAGCATCTCCAGCTCCCTGTGCTGCTTCCCCAGAGCTGGCTGGGCCAGAATCTAAACTGATTCTTCCCCAGTGCCCAGCTGAACTTCAGGGAACTGTAGTCCAGCTGAACTGTATTTTTCAGGCATTATTCAAACACTTCCAGCGAGACTTTCCTTTTCAAGACCTAACTTAAATCAAGAAATCTTTGTTTTCAGTAGTGCTGCATCATAAAATCAGACAATTACTCTTGTAAATCTGTCAGGACTCTAAGTAATTATCTAATTTAGAGCAGTTAAAATAAAAAAGGCAGGAAAATTCTGATCTCTAGTGTTGCTTAGAGAAATTAACCTGGGAGACAGGGATGTGCTGATGAAATCTCTTCCACGGGGTGAGTTGGGTCAGCAGGGAAATATCCACGAATATATGGCCAACTTGAAATGAATGATCCTTTGGCTGCAGTCATCCTCTTTTCCTGTCCCAATTGCACCAAATTAGAAAGATTATTGCAAGGAATCAAATTCCTGCCTTCAGCTGTCTAGACAAAAGTTATGGGGAAGACAAAACCAGACGGAAAGGACAAGAGGCAATGCACACAAACTGCACCAAGGGGAATTTGGGGAGGAATAAGCAACAGCTTTTCTCAATGTGAGGCTGCTGCAGCACTGGGACAGGGGCCTGGATTGTCTGTGGAATCCCTGTCCTTGAGGATTTTCAGCACTCAGCTAATAAAATCCTCAGGCCACATGATCTGACTGGGAAGTGAATCCTGCTGGAAACCAAGGTTGGAGCTCCAGAAATCCATTCCAACCTTAATGGCTTTGTCATTCCAACAAGCAGAGACTCAGCTCTGCAATTCTGCAATTCTGTAATTCTGT